CTTGTACTCGTCTTAAAAATTAAAAATGTCTATGACTTTTTGAAAAGTTATTTTGATTGCTTTGGACATAATTTAGAGTTTGATGCCAAGTTCAGTTGATTAACAATGTGTTGCCATGGTGATGCCCTAAAGAAGCATTTCACAAAGTTTTATCCAAAAACCATCTTCAACAGAGTAATCTGGGATGTGTAGTTTTTTTTTTTTAATGTGATTTCTATAGAAAACAAACTTACGGTTACCAAAAGGGATGGTGAGGGTGGGGTGGGGAGAGATAAGCCTTTAAAATAGATTTGATGCCTCTGACAATAAAGTACACATATCCAATAAGTCTGTTAAAATGGAAATTAAAAATTTAAAAACCATATAGCAGGAGCAAACAAGTATATTAATCACTTAGGCTAATAAAATTGTTATGACTGAGCATTAAAGTTAGCTCTGGTGTTCCTCAATATCTAACTGCTTGTTTTCCAACTGTCCAAAGGAACAGCGAGGGGCAATAATTACCGTTCTGCATCTTATTCAGCTGATGGGTTTCGAGGGTTCACAGTGTGTAAACCAAGGTGCTAAGAATCGTGGGGGCAGCAGAGATGGGGTTTGGCTGTGTCCAGAGTGCTGACACATCACCATAAATAAATACAGTAAAGGATCAGAGCAGCCAGCCCTGTGTGCCAGCAGCTGAATGTAGAAATATTTTGAACGTTCGTAACTGTTGAGATGCGATTTACAAATGAGGAAATGTACAGATTTTAGGAGTGGATTTTGATGAGGTTGAGAAACGCATATCCTATTCAGCCACCACCCCAGTCAAGACTTGGAGTGTTTCCCATACCACAGAAGGCTCCTTGGTGCTCCGCTGCAGTCAGTCCTGCTCCCCGCTCCCTCCCGGACAACCAGGGTGTGATTTCTGTGGCTGGTCAGACTTCACATACACGGAAGCATACAGCACATGTTCTCCTGTGTCTGTCCCCTTTTGCTCAACGTGATGTCTCTGATACACGCTCGTATGTGTGTAAACAGTCCATCCTTGTTTACTGGTGACTAGTATTCATTTTATGCATATACCACACCTGTTTGTGAATGGATATTCACCTGTTGTTGGGCATTTGGGCTGCTTTCAGGTTTGGACTATTAGGAATGAAGCCGCCAGGAACACTTGTTTACACAGCTTTGCATTTTCATCTGTTTTGGGTGGAATTTCCAGGAATCACCGAGTAGGCACATGTTTAAATTTACAATTTAATAGTAGTAGACCGTCTTCTAAAGTGCTTGTACAGTGTTACAGCCCCACCGACGTTGTGTGCGTGTTCTCGGAGAGCCGCAGCCTCGGCGGTAATGGGTGTCGGTCATTTAAGCTGCCAGGTGGGTCATTTGGGTTTGTCTTATGAATAGAGATGTTGAGGAGTTTAAAAATTTCCTTGTGGGCCATTCATGAATCTTCTTTTTTTTAAAGAGTCTTCAAGCTTTTCACCCATTATTTAGTGGGTTGTCAGGTGTTTTCTAGGATAAGGGCATTATAAATAAATGTCTGTGGCTTAGTTTTCCTTTTTATTAATGATGATTTTGAAGAATATGGGTTTTATTATGATGAAATTGAATTTATCACTTTATTCTCTTGTGGCTAGTGCTGTTCGTGTGAAGTGCTTGAGTATCTGAGTATTGTGAGTATCTTACCTTAAGTTTTCTTCTTGACTGTGCTGGTTTTAGCTTTTATGTTTAGATCTATAATCCATTTCACATTAGTTTGTATGTGGGATGTGAGGTAGATGCCAGCTGGTTCATTTCTTCCCCACAGATGGGTATCCAGTGGCTCCAGGACCATTTGTCGAAAAGACCAGCCTTTCCTCGTTGACTGTCCTGGAAATATTTGTTGAAAAGCAATTGACTATATATTTGTGAGTCAGTTTATGTACAATATTCTGTTCCAGTACAGATTTGCCTATCCTTGTGCCAGAACAGCACTGCCTTCGCAATGATGCTTTTAGTAATTGTGGAAATCAGATAGAATGGGTCTTCCAACTTTTGTTTTCCCCCCAAACTGTGGTTCCCTCCGGTAGTGTTTACCTTTAGCCTGAAATACTTCCTGCAGTATTTCTCGTAGTGCACAGCTGTAGGCAACTACTTTTTCAGTTTTGGTTTTTCTGAAAATTCCTTTATTTTACTCCCTTCTGAAGGGTATTGTTGTAAGATTTTAAACCTTAGTTTGACAGTTTTTTTGTCTCAGTGCTTTGACGGTGTCACTTCACTGTCTGCCTCTGCCGTCTCTGATGTGAGGTTGGCTGACTCCCCTGTCACGGTTCCTCTGTGTGTGATGTGTTGTGCTGCTCTGACTGTTTTCAGGGCTTTTTCCTTCATCTTTCATTTTCAGTAGTTTGACTGTGATTTGCCTGGTTTTTATTTCCTTTGTATTTATTATGCTTTGATTTTGCCATTCTTCTTCAGCTTGTAAATTGGCATCTTTGGCCAAAATAGGAAGGTTTTTGACATTATTCTTTCAACCTTTGTCTTGTTTGGCCATTATTTATACTCCTTTTTCTCTCCTCTCCTTCTGGACTCCAAATACATATGTGTTAGAAAAGTTGATATCTCACAAGCACCTATGCTCTATTCATTTTTAAAATATTTTGTTGTGTGTACATGAGATGAATACTTGCTGTGAATCTGTTTTCGTGTTCACTCACCCTTTTTTTCTGCCACTTCCAATCTGTGAAGCCCATCCAGAAACTTTTTTTCAGATATTTTGCTTTTCAGTTGTAGACTTTCCATTGTTCCTCTTTTACAGTTTCCATTTCCCTGCCAAGATTCCCTGTCTGTTCCCTCATCAAGACTGTTTTCTCTTTAAATGCTTCAACCTATCTTGACAGTTATTTGAAGTCCTTGTCTGCTAATTTGAACATTGGGGTCATCGTAGGGTCTCTTTCTGTTGACTGCTTTTTAACAAACTGAGTGTGGCTCACGTTGCCTGCTCCTTTGCGTGTCTGGTAAATTTTTATTCTGTGTTGGACATTATGAATGACACAGTGTACAGAGTTGGGAGTATTTATCTTCCTTTAAAAAGGGTAGTTTGTTTTATCAGACAGTTAATTACTGGTGGTTCTTAATCTTGTCAAGGCTTGATTTTAACCTTTTGTAGGGCTGGTCTTAAACAGCCCTTACTCCAGGACATGGTTCCTTCTCCAAAAGTATGGCCGTTTTGGTGTCTCAGTCGAATTCTCAGGGCATTATTGAGGTCTCGCTACTCTCCCAGTGATGTGTGTCCTCTGCTGTCTTGTCTTATCTCAGCTTGGTGTCTGTTGCTCTCTGCTTGGCTTCACCTCATCTCACCTTGCATATGTGCAGTCCAGCCATTGGCCAGGGTCTGGTGGATAACCCACTTAGACTCCTGGGGCCTCTTCTTGTAGCTCTGTCATCTCCAGTCTTTGTCCTCCAATTCCCAGCTGCTTCACCAGCTCTGAACTGCAAGCTCTGTCTCCTTAGCGCAGCCTGACTGCTTTTTTATGTTTCTCTTCCCTGTGCTGTCCTGAAGACATGGTCTCCAGGCTGACATTCAGGGCTCATCCTAGTGCACTTGGGAATTATGTTTTTATGCTGTTGTCCAGTGTCTAAAATCGTCATTTCAAGTATTTTGTCCACTTTTATAGTTATTTCTGGGAAAGGACGCTCTGTCATGTCCAGAAGCCTAAGCCTGGTAAAAGTATTATTTTCAAAGTCACTCCTAAGATTACTGGTTCTCAAACTTCAGCACGCATCAGATGCTGAATTACACAGATTGTTATGTCCCATCTGTTAGTGTTTCTGATTCAGTAGGATTGACTTGGGGCCCAGCCATTTGCATCTCTGACACATGTCCAAGTGACATTGATGCTACTGCTCTGGGAACCACACTTTGAGAACCACTCACTTAGAAAGATGGAACTTGAGAAAAAATGTTGAGATTTTATTTGACACTTACTCCATACGATTTTACTTTTTTTTTTTTTTCCGGTCCTATGCCCTGCGTAATAAACGTATATCTCAGTGAGTTTATTATAATGCAAGCCATCTTGCCCTTTTCATTCGAAGTATGCTTTTCAAAAAATTAAGAGTTTTTTTTTGCATTGAGAGCGATAGATTCTCCATTTAATTGACAGAAGCAGAAACTATGAAAGAGAATAAGGAGAGTTATGTAATAATGAAATGCCATCATTCTTATTTTTTTGTCTTCACAAATAAATTTGATTCCTTCATGTTGGTAAGAAATTTCTAAAACATGGAGTTTGATAAGTTTCAGAAATAAGTAATTGCTTTTTGTTTCAGAAATTGGGCTTTATTTTAATTCTTCTCAGACTTCTTTGTATGTGTAAATGTGAATTTTGTGTGTGTGTATGTGTTTTGTAGGTGAGATTTTATGAACAGTGATAACCAGGGGCGGACTGAACCTTGTCTGGTCCTCAGGTTTCCTGACAGCTTACACATTGTCCTTTAATAGCTGTTAACATAGCTACTAATCCTTGTACCTCAGTAGCACATTTTGTCTGCTTTCTTTGCCTCCATCATTCCACTGGCTCCATCTCTCCCTCGTTTATCAGGATTCTGAAATTTATTGCTTCCTTTTACTCTCTTCCATACAGTTCCCGCTTAGTCAGTATAAGGCTCATACTGACATCAGCTGGTGCCTCCCGTGGTTGGCGATGCTAGCTTTGTTCTTGCAGTGGCTGCAGGATACGAAGTGTTCTCCCAGCAACGTGCCAGAATTCCTTAGTTGGGAAAATGGACTGGTCTTGTCCCTTCAAATTCTAATCAGTCCTTGACAGATTTTTTTAATGTAACAACTTCTTTAATTTCTTGGAAAAATTGCCCTTTGGTGGCTTGATTAGAAAATTGTTCCATAATGCATTTTAAATACTGTTTCAGCTGTAATGTGAGATTAATGCAATTTTAATCTCAGTTTCCGAGATCTGTTTTCTAATTATTTCGATACAGGCGTAGTAATATAGTAATGACTAAATATTAATTTTCAACAGGTTCATTTTGATGGCTGGGACCACAAGTATGACTACTGGACAGATGCAGACAGCCCTGACATTCACCCAGCTGGATGGTGCGACGTCACCGGGCATCCCCTGGAAGTGCCCTGTCGTGAGTATTTGCTCTTTAAATACTTCCCCTGAAGCCTGTTGTAATGCTGTCTTTTCATGTCATTGTAAGTATTTTAAAGATAAATATCAGATAAGCAGATTGATAAATCAGCACTGTAGTGGCACTGAAAGTCAGGTATTCACAAGTGAGCCTCAAAAGACATTTCGTGGTTTGTATAAATGAAAAGTTACAATGGTTAAGAAGTTATTTTGATAACATTGTCTAGAAGAATCTTTATTTTCCACATTTTGGTTTGGAAAACTAAGCCAGGTCTAAATCCATCTAATTCTGGCCATTACTTTTAGCTGAAGTACTTTTTTTTTAACATTCCATCTCAATTACTTTTGTTTTATAGAGTAGATTTTGGAAGGTTTTAAAAAAATAGAAATATTTAAAATTTCAGTAGTTAAAAAAATTTAGCTTTTAAAGTTGGGGGGAAAAAACCCAAAGTTCCATTATATTGGTATATTCCTTATTTCTGTCTTTCTAGGTCCTTAAAGTTATGGATGAAATTAACCACTCTAAATTCTAATAAACCTCGGACCAAAGCACTGTATTCTTCTGTCTGCAGGAGTCCTCTGATCAGAGTAGGCAGACAGGGCTAATACCTCGCTCCAGACACTGTGTCCACAGGCTCCTTTCCCGTTTGTTTTGTTTCCTCACGGCTGCGGTTGCCCCCCCTTTGGCTTCTAGGGATGAAGCGAGCGTGCTGCTCTATTAAGGACGGTGGGCCAGCCCAGTGACGCCTGAACCTTAGATCTGAAAGGGCTCGCTGCACCCTTGGAAGACTTCCTTAACCTCTTGTAGAAGTGCGCAGAACTGCCGACTTAATGACTTGACAGGCATTCTTACGTTGTGCTCGGTTCTTCAGACACTACACCTTGACAAGGCCCTCGCGCAAGTTACAGTGCCCTGGCCAGCGCGAGGTCCACGCGCAGAGGATGTGAAACGGGGCGAGTGAGGTCGCTTCCGTGTAGAGGGAGGTGTTAGCGTTTTTGCTTTGTGATTTGTTTCTGATCCCCTTTTTTCTCCTTGATTTCCCACCCCTCCGTGCTGGGGGATGTTTCTCACTTTATGTTCACCACCCCTCCCACCCACCGACATGCCCATATCTGTGCCTCATCCCAGCAACTTTCTCAGATCGGAATGGTGTCAGCGGAGTGGGGACAGATCAGCATTGCAGTACAGAGACAGCGCACTTCACTCCACCTCGCCCACTGCCTGCTCCTGGGGCGGGCTGCCTACCAGGCTTCTCGACCCAAGGGGCTCAGAAGCATCCCAGGGTCTGTGGATCGAACCTCATCTCCATCCCAAGCTGGAGACTTACCTTTTCACTGTAGTTGCTGCTTGCTTCCAAAGTTGGTCATTCTAGACTCCAGTCCCTCCTTCCCCTCCCTCACCCCACACATGTAGCCAGTTAGCAAGTCTTGTTGATTCTGTTTCCTAAATTTCTCCAGAACCCATCTCTGACCCCTTCTCCCTCCCAAGGCCATTGCATTTGAGTTCTTACCATGGTTACAAAGATTTCCAGAGTCTGGTCTGCGGTTGGCTAGTGAGTGAGTCGCAAAGTCCTCCTGATCTGAAAGCTCATATTCTAGAGGCAGCATTGTCCAGTGGTTCAGAGTGTGAAATCCAGGGTCAGAATGCTTAGATTGGAATCTCAGTTATACTGCCTGCTTCGCCCTGTGGCTCTCTGTGTGTTTCCTCATCTAGACAATGAAGATGATATTCGTGTGTCTGTCTCATAAGTTACGATGATGAAATGGGATGAACTTGTGCTTAACATTGCAGACTGCCTGGCCCGAGGGAGGTGCCCAGCTAGTGTCAGCTGCTGTCAGGGAATGCTGTGACAGTCTGTAGATTTTCATTGTTACATAAAACCACGTGAGTTAGTAAGGATTACAAAATTTGAAATTGTGCCAGACTGAATATGTAACTAGAGTTTTCCAAATATTTTCATAGAATTTTTTCTTAAGTTTGACTTTGATGTGTTCCTGGCAATATTACAGGATGGCTGCTTTGTTTCCATATCCTTAGGTGATTAGAATCCCTGTAATTAGGGGGATTTGGGCGTCTTCAGTTGGTCATGATGTCCTGTCACTGCTCTGCTTGGTTTTTGTTGTAACTGTTTGGGTTAATTATTTCTGATATAGTTTGTTATTGGCTGATTGGTTAACCTTATGGTTTGTAATTATTCATATTTGCATCGTTAATCTCCTTAATTTTTAAACACCTAGACTTTAGTACATGCTCATAGTAGGTTCAACACGTACCATCCACACCCTGTGTCATTAAAGCAAAGACACACACACAGTCCTACTTCTGAGTTTGTTTTCTTATTTATTTGTCATAGAATCTTTTTCCACTGGAAAGTAGAAACAAACGGTTGTTCTCAGTCCTCCAGCAAAACGTAGTCTGAAGGTCTAGCATTGCCATTGCAATGGCATCGTAACTCACTTCCTGCAGTAGTCTGTATGAAAAGCCAGATCTCACCTTTACCGATATCTTTAGACTTGAGACTCCTTGGCATGTACAAAGCCCTTCACAGTCTGCCCTTCCGTCACCCTTCCACCATTTTCCAGAAGAACAGAATTACTTCATTTATGCCAAACAGAATTACTCATAGTGCCTTGAACGCTGGCCTCATAAGGGTCTGAAGACAGTACGTCACCTTTCTATACTTCCTCTCTGTCTCGGTCTCGTGTGTGGAAGCTCACACCCACCGCTGGTGGCGGGTGCTGGCTTGGGGGGGCCGGCCAGGGCGCCTGCTCCGCGGCGGGCATGCCTGTGTGATCTCTTCTGGGTGTGTTGGTCCAAGCAGCCGCGTCAGGGCATCTCGTCTTCCCGGGGTATTTTCAGATATTTTGTGTACTCTTGTCATTTTACTTTTGTTATATTTACGTGATTCAACAATTGCCTTCAGTACTTTATTATATATATTATGAGTGCTTTATTGATCAAACATGGCAAAGATTATGAAAAGTTTAGGGCGTAGAAAGGGGCTTAGAGAGCATCTAATTTACCCTGTCATTTATTGGGCAGAATGTGACTTGAACTCGATCTATCTGAGTGATTTACTCTAGTGAATTCTTACAAAAGACATCACAGCAGGTTGTCTATGAGAAGTATTGCACGAAAACAAGAGCAGTCAGAGAAAATATGAGGTAGACAGTTTTTTAATTTTTCTTTTCATCTGTTTTGCTTTATGAATATCTTCCCTTAATCCTTTTCAACAGCCGTGTCACTCAGAATTATAATAAATATCTCGGAAACAAAGGAATGAGAAACATATAGATGTGATATATGAATCTTTTCTTTCTTCCTTGACCTCCCAATTTACGTTTGAGGGGTCTGCAGTTTAGAAGTGTGTGAAATAGAATAAAATCACATAGCTGCCTACGAATGAGAAAAAACTAAATGTGGGTTGCTAATGTGGTTTTGAAGACAGAGCAGGATGACAAAGGGCTAGTCCAGCCAGGCGCTTGAATGGGTACTGAGCTGGCTTCACAAGAGCACGGGGACTGGACCAGCCAAGGGAGAGTGGTAGCCTCTTTAAAGGTGGAAATGCCACAAGTGAGCAAAATTACAATTTGTCGGTCCTCACATAAATTTTTTTAAAATTAATTAAAATGTCATCTTTCTAAATCAGTTTATTTTTCTAGTGCCATTTGATCAGTAGATTTATATTCACTGCAGAAACTGAGCGAACATGTGGTACTTGCTGTAGCTCCAAGATTCTGTAGAAATGTTTGTGCTGTGTATTTTGGCCAAGACCATATTATTTAGTACCTCATAATATTCAGTCACAAAGGCTGAATGTTAGTTCTTGAAAAGGTACCTGTGAAAAGCCTCTTCAGAGTGAAACTTGAATGTCCCCGTTCAGCTGGGAAGCGCGCCAGCTGAGATGGCCAGGTGACGTCTCCTCTCAGCCTCTGTCACCAGCCAGAGGCTCACCCGCAGCTCACCTTGGATCCGCGGCTGGATTGAGGTCCCCTTTTCTCAGGTCATGAGGGCACAACTTGCCTGTCTTACCTGACGCGCAGTCCTGCAGGGTGGACGTTTTCTACACGTAGAATCAAAATTAAATACTTAAGATTTAGCACTAGGGTGTCAGAATGTTTCTGCTGTGCTTTGCATTCCCTGAATGTCTTAAAAAGATATAAAAAATAACAAAACCGAAAGCCCACGCCCTCCCCAGACAGCTGCAGGATTGCCTTTTGGCCGTCTCCTCGGTCACGGCGCTTGGAAACAAATCCCTGTCCCAGCGGTTGCTGACTGTTTCAGTAGAGCCCGTGTCTTTTATTACATTGTTGGTTCTTTACCCACGAACTATACCCTCTCCAGCACTGAGATGCTAGATGTCTTTTGCTTTGGAAATTAACCAAACTTGAGAAGCAAGACGATGGACTTTGGAGTTAGGAAACTTGGATTTAAGTTTCCATTCTGCTCTGCCTGCCTGTGCCTTTGAGCAGGTTACTTCCCCTCTGAGACTGGCAGGCCTGTGAGATTAAATATCTTAAGTACCTTCATGGCTGCCTCAGGTGTCTGGTGCTCAAGGCCCTGCAGGAGGGAGCGGGGCGGGGGCTGGGGTGATGTGCAGGCATATTTGTTTCCTGTGCTGCTGTTTCTCTTCACTGATCCAGAAAATTGAGAGTTGACTTTATTTCCTAAAACTTTAACAACCAGTATGGTTTTCCCCCCGGTACTTGTTATAATTGCATTGTCCATAAAGGGGTTGCTGATCTCTGAGCAAATTTTGAATAACACACAGGACAGTTTAAGACATTTAGAATTACTGGCTTAGACTTAAGATAAGCAGACTCTGTAAACCCCTCTAAACTAAGAACTAAAGAACTTTGCTGTTCTTTAAATAAACAGTCTGTGTAGGAAGGAAGTTCTTACTGAGGCAAGAGGAGCTGGGTCCCACACAAGCGGTGCCGAAGGGAAGGGCAGCCTTGGGCTCATTAGCTTGGCCCCTGGCCACGGCTGCATCGTCACCT